TGTGAATGTGTGTGTGTGTGTGTGTGAATGTGTGTGTGTGTGTGTGTTTTGTGGGACCATCCCGCATAACACAGGCAGGGAGAGTTTCTGATGAAATACTCCGGAAATTGTCACTTATTAATAATGAACTATTCTATATGCTTTTCTAAAGTCTTAAAGTCAAATAAATTAAAAGCAGGTGTGGTGTAAGATCCAGGATTGCTATTATATAGAGAAGAGTTCATATAGTTGCCTACATTTCATATAACTGTTAGTGTTTGCAACAATTATCATGTGCACTGATGGTATCAGATGGTACTTTGATATTCATGTTTTGCTTCAAACAAGTTCTGCATGTTCTTACATGGTAATTATAATGTAATAATGCGTTTATGATTTGTAAGAAAGGGGAGTAGGCTTGTGACATCATGTTATATTGTTTCAGTAAACTGAAGATGGGTTTTGGTTGAAGAATTGTATTGAAATTCTGTGAAAATCATTCTGCTGTGCGCTGCATGCTGCATTGTGTGGAGAGCTGTATGAACACACAGGCCTTCAGTCCCGGATGAATGAGAAAAATCCCAATTATTCTGCCACTTTTACTTTCTGTCCCAGTGCCGACTGCAGAGACCATGTGCTGAGAGATGAATGGAGGAAAGCTGCTGTCATCCTGTTGGCTCATAATTCAGTCAGGAAATACTGCAATAGAGTGCAGAGAAGAATCACCTTAAAAATGCGTAAAAATGCACGAGTGTCATTGCATTTACATACAAAATATCATTTGTCATTTATTTAAAAAAAAAGATAAACTGATGAACTGATACACTAAAAAGTCCACTTAAAAAATAAGGAAGGGACATTAGTGAAGATTCTAAAATTCTAAAAGTTTTTTTTTTATATATATATATATATAAAGTAGTTGCAGAGAATATAATATTATAATGAAATAAAAGACAACTGTACTTACTGTACTTAAAGAGAGACACTTTCATGCCACATGTAAGTAGACTTTGTAATAATGTCAAATTAAATGTTATACTTTAAAGTTAAAATATTAAGTGTTTCAAAGAAAAGTATACACATTTGGTGTGTTGACTAACAAAGCATGTAAAGTACTTGATTATAATTTTAACTGTAATTGATATTACACTGAACAAAATTATAAACGCAACACTTTTGTTTTTGCCCCCATTTGTCATGAGCTGAACTCAAAGATCTAAGACTTTTTCTATGTACACAAAAGGCCTATTTCTCTCAAATATTGTTCACAGATCTGTCTAAATCTGGACATGTTTGGGATGCTCTGGATCGGCGTATATGACAGCGGGTTCCAGTTCCTGCCAATATCCAGCAACTTCGCACAGCCATTGAAGAGGAGTGGACCAACATTCCACAGGCCACAATCAACAACCTGATCAACTCTATGCGAAGGAGATGTGTTGCACTGCGTGAGGCAAATGGTGGTCACACCAGATACTGACTGGTTTTCGGACCCCCCCGGACCCCCCAATACAGTAAAACTGCACATTTTAGAGTGGCCTTTTATTGTGGCCAGCCTATGGCACACCTGTGCAATAATCATGCTGTCTAATCAGCATCTTGATATGCCACACCTGTGAGGTGGATGGATTATCTCGGCAAAGGAGAAGTGCTCACTAACACAGATTTAGACAGATTTGTGAACAATATCTGAGAGAAATAGGCCTTTTGTGTACATAGAAAAAGTCTTAGATCTTTGAGTTCAGCTCATGAAAAATGGGGGCAAAAACAAAAGTGTTGCGTTTATAATTTTGTTCAGTGTACATTTAAAGTTAATATGTTTGAAATGTACTCAATGGCAACTTCATCATTACAAATGTGTTTAGCTAAATGCATTTAATATAAACTGAAATTATAATACATTTTAATTGTTTTTTTCAATTGACATGCCAACAATTAAGTGTCCAAAAACCTAACATGTAATTCACACTTAAGCATATTCCTTTTAGATATAATATTGCTACTAAGCACTCTTTTTAAAAGTATGATAAAGTCACTTGAATTAATATTTTGTATCTAATTCAATGACATTCCAAAAGATTTTGGAGCCTCTGTTTTATAAAGATGTGACAGTGTTGCTCTTAAGGTAAATAATGCACTAGAGTGTCTTTCTTGTTCGTGTGTGTGTGTGGATGTAAGGCACCAGGGTGTCAATCCACTTCCTGCATTGCTAAATATAACATAAATCAGCCCAAACCGCCCAAGAGCCGTGGAGTCGCTCTGTGAGAATAGAGCTGGAGCCCGCTGCGCACCCCAGCAGTCCAGCACAGCCCTCAAAAAACATAATTACTCAAGTGAAAATGAGGAAAATAACCAACAATACACCAGCAGCAATTGTCTTCCTCTCCTCTGTGCTTGCTTTAACAAGATGCATTTATAATTTGTGAGCATCACAAACCCAGACACATACTGTGGGATGCTTGTCTGTAACTGATATTTTTACAGACAAATAAATTTTTATTGATTTTTATTAATTTTATTCTATTGAGCTGCTAAAGTGTTTTGGGTGGCAAACATAGTCATAAAAGTTAACTGTCTACTTGAGTACACTTAAATGGCCTTTTGTTTCATTAATATGTGACCCTGGACCACAAAATCAGTCATAAGTGTAAATATTTGGAAATTGAGATTTATACACCATCTGAATAAATAAGCTCTCCATTGATGTATGGTTTGTTAGGATGGGACAATATTTGGCCGAGATACAACTATTTGAAAATCTGGAATCTGAGGGTGCAAAAAAATCGAAATATTGAGAAAATCATCTTTAAAGTTGTCCAAATGAAGTTCTTAGCAATGCATATTACTAATCACAAATTTAGTGTTGATATATTTACAATAGGAAATTTACAAAATATCTTCATGGAACATGATCTTTACTTAATATCCTAATGATTTTTGGCATAAAAGAAAAAGCAATAATTTGACCCATACAGTGTATTTGTTGGCTATTGCTACAAATATCCCCCAGCGACTTAAGACTGCTTTTGTGCTCCAGGGTCACATATGATATTGTATGCACAGTTTTTAATGTAATACACTTTTAAGATTTGAAGTGCACTACAATTAAATGAACTGCTGATATGATCTACACTCAGCTACACTCAGATCAGTATGTGTTGTGTGGATGAGCGTGTGTCATCATGTGCTCTGATTGCAGATATGAGGACTTCCCAGTAAAACACTGACAAGCGAGAGGCATGTCAGCCTCATACATGTAATAGGGATTGTCCGCTTGTTGATCATAAGCCAAATTTCTTGCTTTCTGTCATGAATTGATCCTTATTCTTATGAATTCTGCGGATTTAAAGGAATAGTTCACCCAAAAAGGAAGATTTGCAGGAAATTTACTCACCCTCAGGCCATCCAAGATGTAGATGTTTCTTCATCAGATTTCGAGAAATGTAGCATTGCATCACTTGCTCAGCAATGGATGCTCTGCAGTGAATGGGTGCCGTCAGAATGAGAGTCCAAACAGCTGATAAAAACATCACAATAATCCACACTTGTGAAGTGAAAAGCTGTGTGTTTGTAAGAAACAAATCCCTCATCGAGATGTTTTTAACTTCAAACTTCCAGCTATGAGTCCTATCCATAATATTGCTTTCTCCAGTGGAAAAGTCATCTTGTCTGAATCAGGAGAGAAATATGCACAGATCAAGTGAAAGGGGTCCAAAACAGTTCATAAACAAGTCTGTGGATTTTGATGTGAGAGGACAACAGTGGATGGACTATATCTCTGTAGGAAGCGTTATTATGGATTATGGACTCATATTTTAGCCAGAAGAGATGGTTTAAAGTTAAAAACACACAGCCTTTCACTTCACAAGATGTTAACTGATGGACTGGAGTGGTGTGGATTATTGTGATGTTTTTTGTCAGCTGTTTGGACTCTCATTCTGACGGCACCCATTCACTGCAGAGCATCCATTGCTGAGCAAGTGATGCAATGCTACATGTCTACAAATCTGATGAAGAAACAAACTCGTCTGCATCTTGGACGGCCTGAGGGTGAGTAAATGTTCATTTTTGGGTGAACTATATGTGACTGTGTTAAACTTATCGAGCAGGACAGGCATGCAAACTGTCGCAAAAACATAAATATAAACACACACAGCGCCAAACGTCACCTTCACACCAGCCTGCGACACTTGAGCAAAACTTGTTAGAGTAAGTGAGTGGATTCTGTCTGACAGCTCGCGGCGCTCGCGCGTGTGTGTGTTCACTGGAGTAGAAGTGAGCAGATCTCTCAGTGGCAGATCAAATCACAACATCTCTCCTCTGAGGAGCCTCGTCCCTCTCTTCTCATTCTGTCCTCTTTTCTTGGTTCTTCAGGAGAGAAGTGTGTTTCTAAGTGCCATTATGCCATGGCATCTCTGGGCGCCTCCTTTGTGCAAATCAAATTCGATGACATCCTCTTCTACGAGAACTGCGGCGGCGGGAGTTTCGGGAGCGTGTATCGCGCCCGCTGGCTCTCGCAGGACAAAGAGGTGGCAGTGAAAAAGCTTCTGAAGATTGAAAAAGAGGTGGGAGTGAGAGTCGGCCGAGCTTTTCATACACATGCTTTAATTGTCAGTGTGATAATCATTTTAATTGCCTCTCTGTGTGTCGACTCCAGTCCAGGCAGCGCGATTACGCAGAGAGCTCTCACAGCGGCTTTTGTGAACTGAAATTCATAGACTATGTCTTTAAGAGAAAATTGTCACGTAATTAAGTCATATTAGTTTCAGCTGAGTGCAGTGTTTGTCTTTGGGGTGAAGTCTATTTACTTTTAAGTGCTAGAGTCATTATTGTCTTTGTTCTTCGCGTAGTGATTTTAGAGCGTAATGGCTTTGGTAGCGTTTGGGATTGTATCGTTTGGTCGGGAAAAAATAAAAAATTTGATGGAGGAACTAACTGCCTAAAAAGTTAGTAAAATCACTACTCCTTTCAAACGATTAATTGCGATTAATCGCATTCAAAATATAAGTTTTTGTTTACATAATATACAGTGGGTACGGAAAGTATTCATTTATTATGTATTTGTAAATACACACACATGCATGTGTTTATTTAAGAAAAATATGATGTTTATATATTAAATATATTTATATATATATATAATATAAATATTATATGAATATAAATTGATTCATGTAAATACATGTAAATATTTTCAAAATATATAGATGCATGTGTGTGTATTTATATATACATTATAAATATTCACAGTACACACTCATTATGTAAACAAAAACTTTTATTTTGGAAGCGATTATTCGCGATTAATCATTTGACAGCACTAAAAATCACACAAAAGTATCAGCAGTGATTGAATAAAACTTAACATTCATACGCTTCACTTCATATTAGTAGAGCTCTTCCAAAATAGTTTTTTTAATTTGTTCAAATCTCATGTGGTCATATTTGATACATCAGGCTTTTAGGAGAATCTGTAGCTCATACTCGAGGAGCAGAAAGACACCTCAAGTTTATTCAGAGACCCAAACTGAGCAGTTGCTGATATTTATATGATCAAATTATGAAATTCTGCTTGTAATGCATCTCAATGATCTTTACAACAGTATAAAAGTTTGTTTGCATAAAATGCATATACATATCAGTTGTTACTCTACATTTTCCAGTAATGTGTCTTAATAAGATGCTAGTTTTATGATCAGAGCTCTGTAGTTTTTAGCATATAATGCAATACAATGATGCAAAAGCCTGTTGTACCATATACTCACATTTGAAAATATTTTTTCTAAGAAATTATGTTTGGAGCATGAAGTAAGCGTAAGTTGCTTCAGTCCAGTTCATTTCTAACAATATGAAAGTTACTCTTACATTTACTTTATAAAAATCGATAAAGATTTCACAGCAAAAAAGACGTGACTAAAGACGAAAAAGACGAAACCTGACAGTTTTACAATTTTACTAAAAATAAGTTAAAAAGTATAAACGATCAATCAGACGACAGAAGGCATGTTGTAAATTGCATACAACAGGTTTATCGTCAAAGTTTTGATCATTGTTACGACCTCTAGGGGTTAGCCGTAACAGAAAAAGGAGATGCCAAATAAACAATTTTCTTTTCTTTTAATGGGAGTATTTTCAGGGGCAGACAATGCCAAAACAATAAACAAAAAATACTTTTCTTTGACAACTAAATAACCTCAAACGGAAATAAAGAAAACAAAATACAAGCCAAATTCCTTACCTCCCTCAACCATAAACAAAGTGAAAAAAACAAATAATACATATAAATAAAATGGCGTCTAACCCCCTGCGTCCCTTAATTGGCAAACTAATATTTACAAGAATATTTACAAAGTTATTTACAAAGTTTCAGGGCGTACACACAGCAGAATCAGAATACAAATCGTAGACAAGACAAGCAATGTTCAGATAAACAGGGGTTTTAGAATTTGATCTTACAATAACAAACACTAAACAGATTCAATCCACTCAGAATATCTCTCTCTCTCCGGTACGACACTCTTTCACAACCAAACGACAACGACGACGACGGCGATACAAACAATAGCAGGAACCAGTTAAACAGACCGCTAGCGAAACACAACAGTACGATGAAGTCAACGAGGCCCAGAGGCAGAAGACGAGTGTTTGGGGGCGGTCCTTAAATCTGGGTAGGGTGTCACCATCACCAATCACCATCTCCAGCTGGTTAACAGAGGCCACACCCATCTGGAACACAAACATGTCTACACACACGAGCAGAGAGATCAAATACATATACACTATCTTAAGGTCATAACATCATGGTGATAATTTAGAGACCTTAGAAATGTGTGTATCAAAAATGACACAGTAGGCTTTATGGGGTTAAATTGTTATGCTAACAGTGCCATTATTTGCAATGACGCATTTTTGTATTAAATTAGGAAGGAATGCAGATATATTGAATACTTAACATGAATATTTTCTCTTTTTGATATTGTTGTATTTTTTTGTGTTGGCTGTATTTCCAGGCAGAGATTTTAAGTGTTCTCAGTCATCGAAACATCATCCAGTTTTATGGAGCGGTTCTGGAAGCACCTAACTATGGGATCGTTACAGGTCAGTCTAACATGACTCGTCACTCTGAAACGCAGCATTTATTAGTGTCTGTGAGGCAGGGCTGTAGTCATGTTCCGCAAACATGCTTTTTTATTATTATCCACAATCTTCTGCAATTAATTCAGCTGGAATGATTAACATACAGACTCCATTCAGACTTTTTTTGGTAGATAATTTCAGTCTGAATAATTTTCTTTTTATTTACTTGTTTCTGTTTTTCTTTTCTGTTTATTTACATTTTATTTTCTTTGCTTTTCTTTATTTACAGCTCTCTTTATCTGTCTATATTGCATCATATTCATTTCTGTCTCTGTCTAATGATTAGTTTTTGTGTTTGCTGACTTGGAAGCACTGGCACTTCCTTCAGGAAATGCTAATTTCTCAGTTTATCTCAGATTGGTTCTGTTTGCTTTTGGATTATAATAAGCAAAAAACTGTAATGAACAAATATCCTCAGTTTATTTTTCTTCAGCATGTCTGGGATGAGTTACTGGCCTCTGGTTTGTTGAATCACACAATGAAATGGCCACACTTTATAATAAAGTTACATTTGTTAACATTAGGTTAAATTAAATGGTTAACATAAATTACTTCTGGAGCATTTATTAATCTTATTAATCTTAAATTGTATCTGTTAATATTATTTAATGGACCTGAGCTAACATGGACTAACAATGAACAGTATATATACACACACACAAATGATTTTCTTATTTGTGTCAGCATGTTTCAACCATATATAAAAATAATTATTACTGTACATATTAAAAATGTTTATTTTTAAATAAATCATAGAATGATGAAATCCCACAACTTTTGTCCCATATATCAAGAACGAGTAACTGTCAGGTCTAGGGCTGTCAGATTGGCTGAAAAACTAAATTCGAATTTTGTACTTAAATATTATCAAAATGTTAATTATATTCGAATTTAAAATGCATAATTTCAGTTAGGGTGAAGAAAAGCTTTTGGCTTCTCTTCTGAGGCCACAAGAGGGCGCATCGAGCAAAATATTACTAATGCACGTTTATTCAAAGCATAAGATAATCGCATAATGTTTAAAATAATGTTTATAAACCAATTATAATTAATTAAGTTGCTTAAACAACTATAAACAAAACATCATGTATGTATTCATAGTTTAATTCAAAGGGCTGAAAGCCAATCACACAGAGTACATTTTACATTAAAAAAAAAAACGCCATAAAGTCTCGATATATGGTTTTTTTTTTTCAAAGTTAAACTTGCATTAATTTTACATGGCTTTCTAAACATGCGGCTCTTTTGTGCGAGATGCGAGTGCAACGCTGATAGATGTCCCTCTAGAAAATGCACAAAATATGTGATCTGTGTGAACGGCTTGGTTTCAGTTTTGATGTAAACAAGATCTTCTCCGCATTGATGTTCTCTTTTTCCGCAATATTTTTAATGAACAACGCAGCAGCGCCGCATCTAGTGGCTTCAACTGGATAGGCTAACAAAAGCATTATAATGCAACGACACTTGCATCGTCATCGCATCTCGTGCGCCACTGATAAGGCTGCCTCATTAAAATTCGAATGCAACGTTCTTGCTTTCAAATGTGGAATTTTATTTTAAATTCAACGAATATTCGAAATTCGAGTTTTTATTTGACAGCCCTAGTCAGGTCTTAATGAGCTAGATTTATGTAATGCTGTTTCTTCATGACACTCAGTGCATGTCAAACTCAAATCTCTGTCATGGTCTGGTTCTGCTGTGCTGAGTGAGTGTGACTCAAATGAATCTGCAGTGATTGTAAACGATCATAAAGCGCTGTGTAAAGAGTCTTTGGTATGCAGTACTGAGAGACTATTGAGTCTCTCTTTATGAAAAGTAAACGTAATAAGAGCAGGTCAAGGTGCTGTTTATGACCAGCTCAGCCTTGTCAGTGAGGCTATTAATTTCCCCTCTCTCTGTGCGTATCTCTGTTTGAACCTGATAATCTGACCATTATATGATGATGTGTACTCACAGTGACCTAGAGCAAAGCTAAACATACAGTATTCATGAATATTAACAGATGCAGTCTGCAGTCATACGTTAGAGGCATGCGTCTGTATTTGAGTAGTTTGCATTCTTTTGGGAACACTATTTGTGTGTGTATATATATATATATATATATATATATTAGTGCTGTCAAACGATTAATCGCATCCAAAATAAATGTTTTTGTTTGCATAATATACTGTATGTGTGTGTTCTGTGTATATTTATTACGTATATATATAAATACACACACATACAGTATGTATTTTGAAAATATTTACATGTATTTACATGTCTATATTTATATTCATATCATTTATATTATAAATAAATATATTTATTATATATACATAACATTTTTCCTGAAATATATACATGCATGTGTGTGTGTATTTATATATAGACATATTAAATATACACATACATTTATTATGTAAACAAAAACTTTTATTTTTTATGCGATTAATCGTTTGACAGCACTAATATATATATATATATTATTAAGGAAATATATATAATATATTATTATTTCTGGAAAAAAACAAATCAGCAAGATTGTATTTAATTGACCAAAAGTTACATTTATCACACACAAATATCGATAATAATAACAACATTGATAATAATAAGATACAAGTTAATCAGTATATTAGAATGCCTTCTGAAGGACCATGTGACACTGAGGACTGGAGTAAATACTACTAAAAATTCAGCTTTGTATCACAGGGTTAAATTAAATTTGAAAATATACTTTAAAAAAAATTTTTTTTTTTACCAAAATTATTGAAAATATTTATTACTGAGAGAGCTGCACATCAGTTCGTTGCAAGAGGAGATAAAGATGCCTCTCCTCTGTTGTCAGTAATGTTGAATTTATGATGAAATAACTCTAAAATTAGGTGTGTCTTGAAAGGGGGTCAAAGTCCATAGCTAAGAGAGCTCTGATATGTTTGTTTTTTCAGCAAACAGTGAATGTTTTACCAAAATTATTGAAAATATTTATTACTGAGAGAGCTGCACATCAGTTCGTTGCAAGAGGAGATAAAGATGCCTCTCCTCTGTTGTCAGTAATGTTGAATTTATGATGAAATAACTCTAAAATTAGGTGTGTCTTGAAAGGGGGTCAAAGTCCATAGCTAAGAGAGCTCTGATATGTTTGTTTTTTCAGCAAACAGTGGTGTCAGAGTTTGAAATTATTTTAATATTTCATATTTTAACTTATGATCTGTTGCCTGATGCCTTTAAACACGTACTATGCCATGCAAATATGTTACATTACAGTTGTTTCCTCCTGTCCTGTGTGCCGTAGATGTGAGTGTTTGTTGGTGTTTGCTTATATAACTGATTACATGTAATCTTATGCGGCGTTAGAATTTTCCAGATTATTTTAGAAGATGTCATTGAGCTCAGAACAGGATATGGCACAGTACTTGATGACTAATACTAGTACTGTAGTACATGATGCCCCACAGCAGTGTATGTAAAACTACTGCCCAATACAAGATTTACTAGTTTTCATAGAGGTTTTTTGCATTTTAATTTACATTCTGTACATGTGTGTGTTTGTGTTATGGTAGAGTACGCCAGCGGTGGATCTCTGTTCGACTATCTGTCCAGCGCTGAGAGTGAAGACATCAGTATGAAGCAGATTATGACCTGGGCAATGGACATCGCTAGAGGTGTTATATATACAAAAAAAGAGTGATTGAATGCACAACAAAACACACTTACAGTGGAAGTAGTGCTGGGCGGTATACCGGTTCATACCGAATACCAGTGATTATTTTTGTTATGATATGAATTTTTAAAATCCCGCAATACTGGTGTAGGTCGCTTAAACAACGTTGGGAACGCGACACTGTTTGAAAGGGGTCCCTTTTCACTGTTGCACTGTGGTGAGGGCACAGCTGTATGTGTTACTAAGCGTGAAAGCTCAGAAACTGAAGCTGTAGAACTAATAGAACGTGATGACACAGAAGAACTCATCCACAATATCCACATTGACCGCCACAAATATCCCCCGCCCCCTGCCATCAGCTCCCGCGTCTCACACACACGAGCGCGACTTTAGCACTACATTTAGCAACTTTCAGACCCTTTTAGCGGCTTTTTTCCATAGAATATTCATACTAGCGACTTTTTTGGATAAAGCTTAGCTATGGTTCAGTTGGAAGATTTCGCCAGTGCTGTCCCGCGAACGCGAGGTCTGACTTTCCCGGAGAAGTGTCGCCTCTCTCGGCGTCTGTTCTGTGCAGCGAGCGGCAGAGAAGCAGCACACCGCAGCCGACTCGTCAATAAATGAGTACAAAACAGCGTTTTCAAGCACCTGTCGCTTACTGATTGTTTGGAATTATAAATATGAGCGTAGTTCGTCTGTTAATATCACATGCACTTTTTTGTTTGTTGTTTTTTTTAGTTTGTTACTCAGACGCAGACAGTGCGCTGCATGAGACTAAAAAGTAATATAGCCAAAACAATCTTTAGTGTAGATGCATGTTAATTTTATCAGATGATGCCACGATTATAAATGAGTGACTCCTGGTTAACATGTATTAAAAGGGGTCGTGTTTAGTCACTATTTAGTGGTATTTTTTGACAATATTCAGTCATCATGACAGTAAAATAGGGCATTCTAAGTCTATATACTGCAGTATTTCTTCTCTCAATCAGTAGAAAATATGGTTAACACCCGGTCATGCATGAAAAAAAAATACCGCCATGTACCGTTAAACCGGTATAATTTTGAAAAATACCGTGATATTAATTTTTCGTCATACTGCCCTGCACCAAGTGGAAGCCTAGCAGAAATGGTTACATTGTTTTAAAAATAGAATCATAAGGACTAGGGATGTGCGCCACAACAAATTTCACTAATGTTTAAGCGGAAAGTTTGTAATAGACTAGTCGACTATAGCAAGCCAATAAAATAAGCTTAATTGCTGTATGCTAGTCTGACATGGCCTACACAAAACGTTTCAGATTTCAAGATTTCGTTGACTAGTTGGCAAGTCTCGCACGTCCCTAATAAGGACAAGAACACATTCATACTTAGTGGAGACCAGTCTCCCATCCTGGTCACGCTGGTGTGGTTTTGTGATTTTAGTGGGTTTTTGGTGCTTTTTGGGTTTTAAACTAGTGAAGGCCAGCATGGCTGTTCCTCTGACCGGACTTGACCTGTAAGAGGAAACAAACTGTTTACATTCATGTTTGTGCCTCTTGAAGAAACACTGAGAATCTGACGCATGAACTGCGCTCTGACATTTGCCTTCACATACTCGTGTGAAATATGTTGCCGTGTTTGCGTTTACATTACACATGGTAGTATGACGCTGGTGTGATATAATCAGTGGCCAATCTTGTCTGTGCAAAGTTATATCTAATCGGTCAAATCTGCTAGAAATGGACCCGTTTGCTTTCAGTCTGTATTCATAAATCACTGTTTACATGGATCAAACGACACCAGACAAGAATTGAGAGCATAATGTTTAACCACAAGTTTGGAAAAGGTCATAAGCACACTAACAAAAATACAAGCTTCACATTTCTGCGTTTAAATGTGGCCTCCATTGTAAGTGCACTACTCTAAGCACATTTACTGTGTGTTTATATACACTGAGAAACATGGGTAGCAACAGATGTTGTTGTTTTAATGATTACTATTACAAAATCAAACTCTGCTCTTTCTCATTTTGTGTGTTTTCTCTTATAGGCATGCATTATCTGCACGCCGAGGCCCCGTTAACAGTCATTCACAGAGACCTCAAGTCCCGAAATGGTTTGTGGAATAATTAGTTACATGTAATGGAGTTACATAATTTAATTACAAAATAAATGTAACTGGGTAACACTTTATTTTAAGGTGTCCTTGTTACACGTTACATGTACTTACTATTATAATAACAATAAATTATGCATAATTACATGCAAGTAACCCCTAATCCTAACGCTAACCATATATAAAGTGCACAAGTCAATTAATATTACTTAGTACTTAAATGTATAAGTACACTGTAACAAGGACACCTTAAAATTAAGTGTAACTAATCAATGTCAGTTACGGAGAAAACTTGTGTAAAATTAAATTATTATAATCTAAATTCAAGTGAAGAAGGACTTTGAAAGTCTGACAGTAATCAGTGTTGAGTAGCACTGCTGTAAGTTTAACTCTGCCTGCTTTAAATGTTTGAAAATGATTAACAGTTGAAAACCTTTGTTAGAAATTTAGAAAAGTAATCAAAAAGTAATCCAATGTAATCAGTTACATTACTTTAATAAAGTAATTGAAATAGTTGCACTACTTATTACATGTTGAATAGGGTAACTTGTAATCTGTAACATATTACATTTCCAAAGTGACCTTTCCCAACACTGGTAACTTTTGTAAAAAAAATTAACAAATAAAAAAATAAAGGCCGTTTGTGTATTTTTGATGCTGTATTTTCTCTGACCTGGTCAACTTGTGTTTTCATTCCAGTTGTGTTGACAGCAGATTCAGTACTCAAGGTACGTGATGACTGTCTGTTCATATGTAAAGATTCAGGCTGTCTTTTATTAGTTAAACATGAAAAGTTAACCCTTAATCTGCTGATTAATTGGATTCTCCATGTCCTCAGATCTGTGATTTCGGGGCGTCTAAGTTTCAGTCTCACACCACCCACATGTCTCTGGTGGGCACGTTTCCCTGGATGGCCCCTGAAGTCATCCAGAGCCTCCCAGTGTCTGAGACCTGCGACACATACTCGTACGGAGTGGTGAGTGTGTGAACATCAACGACAATGCTTCTGGCTGCTCGCACGCACTGAAAAAAGTCAAAACTCAGTCAAAACACCAGACTGTTGATGTGCAGAACACATACTACATATCTTTTAAAAATTGTATTATTATTATTTAGTGCTGTCAAACGATTAATCGCGATTAATCACATCCAAAATAAAAGTGTTTGTTTACATAATATATGTGTGTGTACTGTGTGTTGTGTATATTTATTATGTATATATAAATACACACATATACAGTGTATATTTTGAAAATATTTATATGTATATATTTATAATCATATAATTTATATCATATATAAATATATATAATATATAAAAATAACATATTTTGCTTAAATATATACATGCGTATACATAATAAATATACACAGTACACACACATACATTATGTAAACAAAAACTTTTATTTTGGATGCAATTAATCGCGATTAATCGTTTGACAGCACTAATATTATTATCATTATTATTTTCATAGTCCATGACATAAAATGTGATGCATATAAAAAAAGACATCCCAATAAACATTAAGGACATATATGGTCTTTACTTAGTAAGTGATCTAAATTAAACATTAATTAACATGTTTTTAGTTTGACATATTATCGCTAATTTATCCTTTGTTTTTGGTTGTAAAAGTTGTAAAAAGCCGAACATATTATATTGAGCCATATTTTGGCTTATGACTATATTGATTAAGTATGTTACATGGTCTTTACAATAAATAATCTTCTTTGCATAAATGTTTTTTTGGTTTTAGGGAAATACATTTTTTTATTAAATAAATCAAATTAAGTAAATCAAAATACCATCAACCATCAATATAATTTGAGAAAAACTAATACATTTGGCTGTAAAAATGTATAGTTTTTTTTTTTGAGTGTGCTTGCACTTTGTAGTCAGTTGGTCGATGCATTGGATCTGTTGGCACAGATCTGTATCATATAGCTGTGAATAACACGTGGGTTTCTTTCAGGTCCTGTGGGAGATGCTGACTCGTGAAGTTCCCTTCAAAGGTCTGGAGGGGCTGCAGGTGGCCTGGCTGGTGGTGGAGAAGAGCGAGGTAAAGGGAGTTTCTCTCAGCCGAGTGACTGATGAAGTGTCTGCAGCAGTTGTGGTTTATGACATGTTTCATGTGTGTTTTGCAGAGGCTGACGATTCCCAGTAGCTGCCCGGCCAGTTTCGCCTGTCTGATGAGAAGCTGCTGGCTGACAGAACCGAAAGTAAGACAACAAATTAGAGGTCTGCTACCCGAAACCCGAAAGTATTTCGGGACCCGTCGGGCTCGTGTCGGGTTCAGGTTAATGTTTAATGAATAGCTTCGGGTTCGGGTCGGGCTCGGGTTTATAGATAAACTAAAACTATATTCAGGCTAAGTTGCTTTCATAGACGCACGCACACACATTATTGCACACGACAACACAGCACGGAAACTTTTATTAGTAAAATAGCTTCGACAGGCTACTGACTCGCAACGCTAAAAGCCTTAACTGACTAAAATGACCATAATTTGCACGATGGAAGAATTGTCGTCTTGTCGTATACAACCAAATGTAACTGTGCTGCTCGGGTCGGGTCAGATGATCTCGGGTATGGGCCGGGTTCGGGCTTCACTTTAAAGCCTGTGCAGACCTCTACAACAAATACACACGTTTACCTTGATGTGTCAATTAGGTCACGTTGTTACGGGGCTGACGAGACGTGAGACGTGCGGATCCATATGCAAGCTTTATTTTGGAAAAGACAGTGACGTGGTCATGAAACAGGCATGGATCAGATAAAGGCAGACAGGTATATGGCGGGCAAAACACAAGAATAATCCGGGCTAGCGTGGGTCAACGATTGGCAGACAGAGTCACAGGGGCAAGGCTAAAAGGGAGAAATCCAGGAAAACAGGCGAAGATCAAAACCGGAGAAACGGCTAAGGCTAAGGCAGGGAAACAAATGAGGGCTCTGTAGAGTAGCTATCTGGAGATATGTGCTAAACAATACTCAGCAGCGGGAAGGGATCAGAGTGAGTGTTAAATAGTGAGGGAGTGATATGAAACAGCTGGGTGCAATCAGTGTTAACAGATGTGTGCAATCCGTGCTGAGTGCAATCCGTGCAATGAATGATGGGATATGTAGTCCGGGGTGATGTGCAACAGTGTGTAGTGCGAGAGTCAATGAAATTGGAAAGGGTGACCTCTGATGGCTAGCAGAAGGAAGTTCATGGACCGGATTCGTGACACACGTCATTGATTACGACCACAGACTGTATGTAAAATGTAGTAAGGTTTCACAGAATAAAACAGAGCAAATAAAATGTAATGATATTAATAAAAACAGTATTCTTCCACCAAACAATGTAGCTCCTCAGAATCAGTTGTGGTTGCAACAAAGTGGCTGCAGAGCAACACACAGACATAAACAAAGGTGTGTGTTTGTAGAGTAATTTACAACAGCGTCGAACGCGGCTCAACCAATCAGAATCAAGGACCGGAACTATCCGTTTTATAATACAAATTTTTATTTGATGCACCCTTTTGGTGTTCCAACCCTGTATTAATTGATTTCTTCTGTGTAACATGAAGAATTTTAAAGAAATGTTTCGTTCGTACAGTAGAAGTCGAAGCTTACCACAAGTGATTGGTTACCAACAAAATATTGCTTCCGAATGTTTTTGAATGTTCCACAGAAGAAAGAAAGTCATTCAGGATTTGAACGACACCTGAAGAGACAAGTCAATCAACTCTTCTTATAGTCAAATACAGTATAAATTGTATGCAAACATACAATGAACCTACGATAAATTACATACATTACAAAGCATTAGCAGTAATTATACTAATACAGTAATTATGCAGTGCTTAAGTAGACTGGTATTTACTAAGCGTTAAGGTGAAATGCATTAATGCATGAATAATAGATAAGACATGCTGTTTGCTCAGGGCGTTAATAACTGCTGTCTTTATTAATAAATGTCTCTTATCCTGACATTTTTAATTCATCCAATCAAAGTTAATTCCAGGGCTTGTTTTCTCCGTCTCAGTTTCATCTCCTCTGAACACTCACACTCATTCTAGAGAGCTTCATAAATTCACGTTTGCTGGCGCTGACGTCACACACTGTACAGGACAGCATCATAGCACACAGCGGTATCGTATGGACGTTTCTACCGTTCATTAAGTTTATGACAGCTTACGAATGTTTAATTGAAAAAGCTGTTAATGTGTCACGGCCTACTGACTGTATGGTCAACCTTACAAGCCCTTGTGAAAAAAGAAGTGCAATTAGTTTAATTGAAAGTGCACTTGTAGTGTACTTCGAACCTTAAAAGTGCATTTAAAAAAAAAGCACTTTCTATTATAATATTAATGAAAAAAGGCCACTTAAGTGTTAAAGATGACTAACACACTTAAGTGCACTTTTGTCAATTTTGCTAATTAACTTTGTAATAATGTCTAATTAAAAGTTTTGCTTTAAAATACATTGTTTTAATGATCTTTTGATATTTTTTTAAAGAAGTACACTTATTTTGATGTGTTGACTAACATAATAAAGCACTTGTAAAGCCCTTGATTATACTTCTGAGTGTAATTCAATATTACATTTGATCTGTTTTCATCCTTACAGATGTGTAATTACAGATATATTTAAATACGTGACATACAAGGTTTAACAGAAATGACATTAAAGCATAGTTGAGTTGATCATAAAGGCTTGTCAGTACAATAGAAGTAATTATGAAATTACACATAAAGATGTACTCGAGTCCTACCCGGATGGGCCATTAAGTCACTCTAAAGTTCAGCAAATTGTGTTTAACAGAACATGAAATTATGATACATTTTAACTTAATTGCAATTCATATTATTTCCATGAGAAGAACTCTTTTTAAAAGTATACTAAAGTCTGCTTCATTAGTTTTTTCACTATAGGGAGAGTTTTGATGTAGTGTTGTTTATTGATCGCATGAGCCAATTATCAATTTATAAATGTTTATAGTGTTTTAGAAGAGTTGAGCGTGTCAGAAATGCTCTGTGGTTTTAATGAAGCTGTTGTGATGTTGTTGTAGGACAGGCCGCTGTTCAAACACATCTTGTCCACGCTGGAGTCCATGTGGAGCGACAGTCACTTAACTGAGGAGTGCAACACTTTCCTGCACAATAAAGCAGAGTGGAGGTACAGTAACTCACCAGTGATTACACCAATATCAATATCATATGCCTGCCATGTATTTTTTTTTGCATTACTTCGTTGCACAAAAATGCACATTTTTATTTTCAAATTCATTTTTTAAAGAATTTTTTTTTATGGTATAATATAATCTAATATAATATAAAATAATACTGTTAATTTCAATTTAATTTCAAACTACCATGCATGTGCCTTCACACATTTTGTGCACTGGTGGTCTAGAAAGGTCTGGGTGTTTGATGCTATATTAAGACTGGACGTGGGCCAGAATACAGGGACAAGAGGTTCCTGTCCCTCCCTACAGCTAAACAGAGTCAGAGAAACAGCGAAAGAAGAGAAGAGACGTGATGTGTCGAAAAGGGGAACTGAGGACATGTGGATGTGAAATTTCAACAGCATCTGTCAGAAAAGAAACAGACAAGGAAATCAATCACACAGGGAAGTTTGGAGTTGGAATGGAGCAAGTAGGGGGTGGGGCTAAACGAAAGGGGCGGTCCTAATGGGAGGAGTTCCTTTTATAAATAACTGTAGTCTGGAGAGAATGTGCAGCTCCCTCTGGTGATGAAATACGATATTACAAATGAACAATGACTCAGGCTTGACTGCGCACACCTATAATTAAAGAAAGGCCACTAAATGTTGCCGACCAGCTGAGAAAATGTCTTTCCTTTAGGTGCATTTATGCCGTCTTGAGAATAAAGACAATATTCAGCCATTATTCTTCCATAACATTTCAGAGCTTTGTTGTGAAATCAGCATAGAAAAATAACAATTTCTTCAAAACACCATGTAGCCATTTGTTAGAGCACTTGGAAACATATTTTAATAAAAAAATACATACTTGTGAGTAACAGTACAGACACCGTGTGTGTCTGAAATGGGACATTTGTATACAGGTTATGAGCATTATTAGTGCTTTTTTTTTTTTTGTAACATATTTGAACTCAACTTTCTTAATATTTTTTGTCTTTGAATAAAGTGTTTTTTTTTCTGTTGTTCTGGCCCCAAAGTCAAGTGAAATGTATAATTATATTGCTAAAATTCTTAGTCTAATCCAAAAGTGAGAGTGTTGTCAAAGCAAAGAAATAAGTAATGTTAAAATGTTACAAAATAATTTATTATTTAAAGTAATGATAATCAACAGTAAGTGTTTTTTTTCGTGATATTTTTGCCCTAAACGCCAGAGGAATTTTATGTTGTAAAATTGTCAATGTACAACAAAAGTGTGACTGGTTAAAAAATCGAAAGCAATAAATAAAAAAAAATAATCTATTTATTTTAGTGCTGTCAAATCGATTATTCGCAATTAATTGCATCCATAATAATAGTTTGTGTTTACATAATAAGTCTTCTGTGTATATTTATATGGATAAATAAACATACGCACATGTATGTATGTATATATTTAAAAAAATATTTGTAATATATATTGATATTTATATATAATATAAATCATGTATAAATATAAATATGTGTGTGTGGAAATATTTCTTAAATATATACATATGTGTGTGTGCTACATATAAATATACTCAGAACACACATATATCATGTACAAACTATTATTTTGAATGCGATTAATCGATTTGACAGCACTAAATTATTTACATCTCCATATCAATGTATACCACATTATGCAAAGAATATTTGGGTATGTTCTCATTAAATAGTGGTGTGATGTTAATGAATATAATGGGTTTTGTGTGAGCAGGTGTGAGATCGAGGCGACTCTAGAGCGTCTGAAGCGGCTGGAGAGAGATCTGAGCACCAAAGAGCAAGAGCTGAAAGAAAGAGAGAGACGGCTAAAGATGTGGGAGAGAAAGCTCATCGAGCAGTCCAACACACCGGTGAGTCTCTGTCTGTCTCTTACTGCAGCTCACGGAGGACTTGACTCATCGCTCTAACATAAAGTCAATCTGAATCACTTCTGTCATGCTTTAGGGGGCCGTTCAACATATTGCGTCTTTTGCACGCTCAAGTTCGTTATTTCAAATGTAGACGCGCGGCAGGCACGCTCATAATGGAAGCAGACGCGCTCATTTGTTCCAGGTGCTTCTGCGCCACACAGTGGTAAACATGGCCTTGTCCCAACTTTTTTGAGATGTGTTGATGCCAAAACATTTCAACTTTTCAGAATGCCGCAAGCGCACAGCGGGTCATGTGACAAGAACCAACCAATCAGCTTCATCTTTTCCCGTAACAATGAAAGCTCAGCCAAGATGAAGGAACAGCTGATCATAGCTGTACAGGGATAGCTATTTTTAAATACATTTAGTAGCAGAGCTACTGCAAGTGATTTTTAGTGCTGCAAATCCATTTATCCTTTGCTGAAACTTCCGCATTTTCATGGAGAGCGCAAGTCATGGTTGCTTAGCAACGGCAGAGGCCTACGGAGCGCAAGCGCCTGAACGCTTTGGAAAAAAAGCAGAAAGCGGCGCACCTAGCGTTTTCCACACGTTTTTAGGCACGACATGTTAAACCCTTATCCTCATGTTTTCCAAGACCTTCTATTTCTCTAATAGACCATAAAAGGAGATGTTTTGAAGAATATTCACACTCTGGTATGTATCTTATAAAATGCCACGCCCCCCTAAAATGGCTCGTTCTAACACGCCCCCACATATCTACCTCACTATGTGGAAATATTTGCATAATGCGGTCCAAATGTGCACGCAAAGAAAGGCGGCGTGGCTTCAGTAACCGCAGTTAGTGTTGAAGCAGCATGTCAGGGAGACGCTGTGTGTTTCTAGGCGAAAGCAAAAGCACTTTATTTGGCCTTCTGAAAGTAGATGCATTTAGACAGTGTAATTATACATTTAAGTACTGAGTAATATTAATTAACAACATGTGCTTACTATGTGGTTAGCGTTAGGATTAGGGGTTACTTGCATGTAATTATGCATAATTTATTGTTATTAAAATAGTAAGTACATGTAACATGTGTAACAAGGACACCTTTAAAATTAAGTGTTACCGAAAATACTTAAATGCGATAAAAGGAAAAATTTATGGTAACACTTTATTTTAAGGTGTCCTTGTTGCACATGTTACATGTACTTACTATTATAATAACATTAAATTATGCATAATTACATGCAAGTAACCCTAACCAAACCCTAACCATATAGTGAGGACATGTAGTTAATTAATATTACTCAGTACTTAAATGTATAATTACACTGTAACAAGAACACCTTACAATAAAGTGTAACCAAAATTATTATTTTTAAACTTTATAATAAATAAAAAAATAGCTGAGCAAATTGCTGAATTTCATAATTAGTTCTATTGTCTTTGAAATATGGTTAAAGTACTGCTGAACGTACTGACAAGCCTTTATGGTAAACTAAAATATACTTAAATGTCATTTAAATATATTTGTAATTAATTAGATAAGTGATGATGAAGTTGCAATTTAGTACGTAAAATGCAATTTAGTATTTAAAA